TATAGATTAAACTCACAGACGCTGATTTCATCTAAAGTCAATTAATCCGGTCCGATCGGGCTTCTTGGAGCCCTTAATTTTATGCTTTCATCGTTCTACTACCGACGTCTCTTCAATCTGATTTATCAACATAGTGTCAAGCAATATTTTTGCGATACCTCGACGATCTAGCCTTCAGTTTTAATCCTGGGAAAAAAAACGCATAAAATCACAGAAAAAATTGTTTCCTTTGTTGCCTTTTATATTTCGGTATTGAAGAACAAAAAGAAATATTAACCATTGAAAAACGCTCTATTGTTTTTTTTTTTTAAATATTCTCTATTAAGATTTATACTCGTTTGCACGCGTTTAAACTAATTGTCGAAGCACTTTAGCCACTCTGATTGAGGTATCACTAAAACATGCATTCTGAACCCATCAACCGCCTCTTCAGGTGTCGAGAAACGTTGACCTCTTAGTTAACTTTTTACGTACGGGAATAAAAAAATATCATTCGGTGCCGGGTCAGGACATCAAATCGATGTTTTGAGTGCTCAAACATGCAGTTGTTTCAGTCGATGTATAAGAGCTCGAATTGTGGTGGTGTAGAGTGATCCATCTTCGGTGCTGGTTTTCCTGATTTCCATCGATCAATACTGGTCATTGGTGGAGCTTCATCACCAAAAATTTAATTGAACCTTGGAATGTTTCTCTGCCAGTAATAAGGTTTTTATAAAAATCAATAGGTTCGGAATCTGGTGGGAAAAGAAAAAGATAGACGTCACCGCGTACTGTTGCTCACTACGTCTCGCCAAAGCTCACATAATTAATTATTAAACCTCTCCCTAATGTACATTATTTTTATCATCACTACGTGTGTCCATATAGTATACCGATATCAAAATTTTGCTTGAATAGTTTCTACGACGAAATGAAAGAAAGTGATCTTACTGAGGAAAACTCAGTCTCCATTACGAAACTTCCGGTAGCAGTTTGAAACTGATCGACCTCGACAGGCAGAAAAATTTACCAGGTTACAAAAGGACCCGAATCGAATTGATTACAGTTTTGAAAAATTCAAGGCGCGTTCTATGTGTATATAACTTAACAATATAAAAAAAGCTCTACAGTAAAGAGTAAAATAATTCGATACTTGGCTATCTGAAAGCACTACTACTACTCTTCACATGAAGTACACACAAATGGAGTTCTCTCCGTACCAGTTTAGCTCCGCGGAGCCGAAGACTTGATAAAGCGCATTAATTATCGAACCTTCAAGGATTTGATAACAACGGACTAAGCAACCATCGAAGGTAAGAAATTACCGATGCACTTTCGGGGACTCTTCCAAAACTGCAGGGCGGTTAGAGCGTCAATCAAGCAAATTGGCACAAGAATATTTAAATTATGTACGATTGCGATTATGTAAACCTCAAAATTCACTAGTAAGTGATTAAACTAGTGAGAGATGCTCCCTAAGCAAAGGCTTTACTTTTTAAAGAAATTTCCATTTCTTCTAATTATACAAGTTGGCCCTCAAGTCCGCGACAAGCAGTAGCTGCAGCTCAAATGCCACTCAAGCAGATGGCAGTTCGGCCGAGTGATGGACAGTGATTTGTAAATTCTTACAAACTTCGCCCAGCGGCACTGTGATGGTTATGCAATGTGCGCAAACTAAGCGACAGTTGGCTTACTTTGTGAAAAGAGTAAGGTACGTGTACTATCTGCATATACCATATACTAAAAACATTCATATAGATACCCATATCTGAGTGTGTGTGTGTGTGTATGGCATTCGTGCAACAGGGCCAACTGGCGAAGAAACTCAGTCAAGTTGCTGCCAGGTAATTTAAGCCAGTTGCTATTGTTGTTGTTGGTGGGCTGTATATAAGTAAAACTGAACGACGCTAGTGTAATGAGGCAACAGCAACAACAATAACATATATAACAACAATAGCATATTGCAAAGCAGTATGGCACGAACTGAGGTCGTTTCCTTGTGCCACATGTGCCAACAACAACAACAGCTAATGCAAATACAAACAACATTATCAACATCAGCGACATTATCACCTCGACATCGCGGACAGCATAAATATTTAAGAAGTAAAAAAACAAAAACAACAACGAAATTAAATTAAATAAAAAGCCAAAGCGTGGAGAAAGAAGCAGCAGCGGTAAACAAGCTCTGTTGGCAAACAATCAACAACATTAATAACAATAATAAAAGCAACATGCAACGTCATGTGCCAGCTCCGCCTCAACAACGACACCGTCTCCTGGCAATTGCTTCGGGGCTTCATCACATGCTCGCATGCCAAGCACTCGTATGTCGGCGCATGCCCGGCCACTTGCAATGTTTGCTTGCGAGGTAATGCAATTATCGTGGCCGGCGCACGTGACAACTCCACCTACGCGCGGGCAGCAAACAGCAACAACAGCAGCGCGACAACTTCACAACTTGACAGCGTGAGCAATCAGGAGAGTAACAACAGCAACAACAATAATAATAACAGGAGATCAGTTGTAATAATGACATGAACTTGCCGCGCATACAAAATGGCTTTGGTTAACGGTTTTAATTGTCAAGCTGATTGTCGCACTGTCAAGTGACATTTTTATTGCAAGCAATAGATGGACGAACGAAGAAAAACGAGTATGCGAGGAGACTTTTCGAGTTCCTTTTTGCAGCAAAAATTTTATATTTGTACATACAAATGTATTCTGCGAAGTAATTTTGATAATATTTTTAGCTCTCTGGTCTAAGGTGTACCATGCTTTGAGATCATAATAATTGTTGTTGCATCCGACTTTCTGAAACATGTGATACCAGTTTTCCTATGCGTTCCTCTAATCACGTGTTCATGATCGGCCGATGACTTTTGACCATATTGAAATATCGAAAGAAGAAATTGTCTATATGGAGTGCAGTATATAAGTACTTGTCTCATATACACATATATATGTATACTCGTACAACTTTCTTTTGACTCTCTTTTGGAAGCAACATTTCTGATATACTTGCAGCGTTATACAATTTGAGGAATGATGCGGAGTTGATAGTTCTTGGCTGGATATGAAACCTGGGCAGTTCAATGGCTGAGCGTGGAAGCGATTTGGTGGTTAACTCAAATTATAAACCATAAGTATATAGGACACCGAGAAAAATATTTTATTGATATGACTGCCAAAGTGTTAATTTTATGCCAAATGAAAAATCAATCAAAAAATAAAAATGAAAATGTTTATCTTGATTTTAACTAATAAGCAGCTGTTTGAGGAGAAAAGAATACTTTATAGGGTCCATAAAGTTTCCTTATGGGTAATGGAAACTTCGCATTCTAAACTTGACACAGAGGTATATTTTCGGTAGAATCTGTCATTTCATTTCAGGAAGGAAAGGATAAATACGCGAATGGATTTATGGAAAATCACGGTAGACTCCCACGGTTCATATGGACTAAGCCTCTGCGTTAAATTTAAGAACAACAATCCATTCTGTCGCCACTTGGGATACAGCTTACATTTTGAATAGTTTTTGAAAGGGCATTTTAGAATTTTTTACTGCCTTAGTGGTCTTGCGTTGATTCATGTGCCAAGAAATGGTGCTCGTATGCAATATAGACATAACTTAATATTCTCAGTTGTAACTGACACCTCTTCCAACATTTCCAACAGGTGATGGCTGGTCTTTTGACACCTTAGAGCATGCAAATTATTGAAAGATGTGTGTGTAAATGCTCAAATATCTATAATTTTGTATGTGTCTACATGCAAATCAGGGAAACCGTAAAAGTCGATAAATTTGAAGATTTCACAGCTGTTACTAGTCTTGCTCATATAACTACAACAAACCAGCAAAACGAATCAGAATTCATAAAATCAATAAAAAAAATTGACTTTTACAAAAAAGACAAAACAAAAAAAAACCAATAACATCATCATAATTATAATCGGGCTCATGTCGAGACGGCAAACAGGAATGAGTTTGACTAACCGATATTATACGAAAATAATAAGAAGAAATTAAGAACTCTCCAAGCAGCTTACAGACGTCAAACTGAGATTTCAAACATAAAAAAGCACAGAATATTAGCAACGCGCCATTAATTTGCAATACGAAATCGCTTGGCAACACAGACATACCCGTACATCAGTGGGCATACCGAAGGTGAGGGCTTTGGGCGACGAAAGGCGAGCTAAGAACCTTTGGTTAATCACTTGGAAGGACGCTGGCAATTAAAACAGCTGCCAGCTTCGAAACGACGGACCGACAGAAGGGCATAAAGGCGGAACAACAGATTGTGCCACCACACTGTCACAACGGTGATTTAGAGCATTGGTTCTGCTTTCAATTTTAGCCCTTCCATAATTAGTAGGAAATAAGGTAAATGGTATTACGACACGGTATTAAGTTTCCAGAGATTGGACAGTAAGAAAATTAGATAAAAAAAAGCTCACTTTTTCATAAGTCCAGCATTTGATGTCTCGCTCATATGGTCAATTTATTTGAACAGCTGATTTAATTATTCCGGGAGAAGTCAATGGCTTTTCATCGATCAAGCGTGACCGAACACAGCCGCACCAACAACCACTCATGTAGAAATTAGTCACTGGAAATTTATTACTTGGTTGCGGAAAATGAGAAAATTGGCAAATCGACATGCGATATACTCGCGTTAATAGCGTGATTGAACAGCTTCCGAACGGAAGCGTTGTTTTATTGTGAGAATTCGCCATAAATGATTGGTTGCGTCAATAAATCCGCATTAAAAAGCAATTACAGCAATCTGCGAGAGAAGAGCAGAAAATCAGAACGAATCCCGATTTCTGCATTGAATTCGACTTGCAATCGCGCTCAACTTAAAATGATAAATGTAGCGATGCATTGTTAGATAGATGAATTCGACTTGCAATCGCGCTCAACTTAAAATGATAAATGTAAAGATGCATTGTTAGACAGATGAAGGCGTGAGATTTTTCAAATAAACTTATTAAGAAAAAAATGTGTTTGCGTTTACCTCCCAGTGGCTGAACACCAATTGTGGATAGGCTAGACCCGATGTTTGCTTTCGTATTTCCTGGGAAAAATTGAATGATTCAATAACTGGTAATATAGCCATTACAGAGAAATTGCCACTGCCTTGTGTTAAATCGCCAGAGAGAATTTTGCCATGACGCCGCCCAATCACAGCGTACATTTTTCCTGAAATAAAGAGAGAAAGAAGAGAAAAATTGGCATTATTGAGTGATATATTTTACATTAAGCTTATTTGATTTGGAAATAAGTTTTCGCAAATGGGGGTTTAATTACAGTTTAATCAGATACAAAGATAAGGTCTAGTAAAAAGCAATCCATACTTTTTGTAATAAATTTAAGGTTTTATTTAGCATAGTTAGAATAATCGGATTTAGATCAAATATGCCGCGTGTTGCTCGATAACTTGTTTCAATGTTCAAGGTAATATCATAATGCCACTCTCATATAAGCTATCCTGGAGCTTCTGGCCAGACCCTATCATAATTCCTCTCCCCAAAGATGGCTGCTTCTGAGCAATTACTTACTTCAGACGGTTGACAATATAGGTCAGAATTAAGAGATTGGACGCAGGGGTGCAGCTCATAGTAGATGATTACCTGTAAATCCCATCAACGGCAAAGAAAACCTTTCTTAACTGTCATTGCTGCTATGGCCACCGTTTGAGCCAACGCGATTCGACAATGACATTTTCCGCTTGTCCTTGTTGTAAGTGACACACTTTTCATCATTCCTTCAGCAATTGAGTGATTATTTTGGGAATCACCAGCATTCACAGAAGGAAATTCGGTCCATGAGGCTTTCTTGTATTAGCTTGTGTGGTACCCATACTTAGATCTTTTTTTAGTATCTAGCCTTATTTAAATGTTTCCAAACGAGTTTTCTGCAATATTTAGCAGCTGGGCAATCAAAACTGTATCCACAGGACGGACGGACTCAACGAAGACCATTATTTTATTGTTATTTTCGACAATTAGTTTTTCAATAAAATATTAAAATTGAACTTAATCGATAACCATGTAGAAATCTTAATTAAAAGTGTTTTATAATCAAAATCGCCATACCAAAATCTCTGAATACTGTTAACGAAATTCAGGTCGATATTTTTTAGGAACGAGAAAATGCTGACTTTGCAGTCGTTAAAAATAAAAACGCAGGAGACTGTCTAAGCACGCGGACAGGAAGCGCTTGACGACCAAACTATTCCTGTTTTTCATTCATTCATTCATTATACACCATCCCAAGTGGTTTTGGTTATTGTTATTATTGTGACCGGTTTGGCATGCGCACATTTAAAGCCAATGCAAACAACAAATCAAGCAGCTGGAGATGAAGAGCAGCGGACTGTTGCCATAGGTATGTATGTACATACACCAGCCCTGGGGTTCGGATGTTTTGCCAAGCTCCAAATGAGCCAATGGAGCGCGCTAAAACAACAACCACAACCGCGCTCGGTATGCTATAACTCTAAAGAAAAGACAAACGCACACACACATGTACATTTGAAGGCATACGACAAAGCAACAACACCAGCAATGTTGAGTGCCGGCTTCGCGCTGCCAGCATAGTGGTCAGAATATTCTTGAAAGTGAGACGAAAGCGTAAAAGCAGGTTGACCGGCGCTGGACCGGACGTTGTTTGGCCGATTGGTACTCGCGCCAACTTGCCGCGCGACATCTTGACCGCGGCCGCAGTGCATGAATGGACAAAGTCGGCGAGCGCGGCGGCGCTGAGCGGCGCAACAGGTAAGCATACCATTCAGATCGAAGGCAAATAAGATGAAATGGAGAAGACTTCAACAACAGCAACAATATGAACGGCTCGAGTAGCGGTCGATCGAACGAGCGGCATGCGAATGACTTGTAGTTAAAAAAATCGTTAAAAAAATTGATACAAAAAGAAAATCAAAACATCGCCAAGCAGTGATAACAACAACAAGCAAAGCGCGTAAACAAGACGGCAAGCGAACCAAACCGAACCAGCTAAGGATGAAACTAAACAAACAACAACAAAAAGAACTAGTTTCCGGTCGTAGTAAAAATGACAAGCCAAGAATGTGCCACAAATACAAAAAGAACAACAGCACAGCAACAACCACAATCATTTCATAAATTTAACAAAAAACAGCAACAAAAACAGTTACATCAGCAAAAAAAAGATGGGGAAACGCGTAGTAGTAGAATACCACGACGGACGGGTAGTTGGGCAATAAGAAGCAACAGTCGCACAACGGCCGAAACGAACCGGGTCGGGTCGCTGGTGGACGGACACTCGCCGAATGAATGGACTACAGATAAGTAAACAAGTCACAAAAACAGCAACATTGACGACAACAACAATGACAATAAAAAGAAATAGAAGTCAGAGTAGTTTCAGAGAAGACGATTCAATAATATCGAAGCAGTAAAGATAACAAAAACAACACGACAAGAGCTCGTCCACAGCAGCAGCAGCCAAAGAGCCAAAGTCGTTGGACATCCGCCGTAAGAAAGTTTGAGTTAGCACGCCGAAGACTGTACGGTTAAGTGAGTGTGGATTGCCGTCTCGACAGTGAAGCGCGGCGATCAATACGATCAATTGTATAATCAAACGTTTATCTGCGTATGAATGATTTCTGCGCTCTACCTCGCAAAGTGTAATAATACACATATTGAATCCCAACTCCAACAACTTGACAAAATTAAGCAATCCCCACCACCTTTAAATATATTTATGTATATATATATATATATATATATAATTTGTATTTCTAAAAAATAAATGTATATTAATTTTTAACTCAAACAGTCGGCAACCCTGTGCGCGTACACTTTACGCCTGCGCAAAAGTAAGCTCTAGCCACCAACCACTGGCTGGCTAAAAATAAAAACTAGAAAAAAAGCAGAAATCTCAATTCAAATAAAAGCAACAATAACAACAATACAGAAATGAATGCTCTGTTTCTAGAATGAGCTGAGCATCGACGACGCGTTGGATGCTGTACACCAACAGCGACCGCAGCAGAAGCAGTGTCAGTATGAATGGAAATATGGCTGTGTGAATGCCTGTACATTTTTAGGGAGAGGAGTGCCGATCGAATGAGATACAAGCAAGCAGCAACGCGACCGCTTACGATTCATTCATACCTTCGAGCACTCATTCATGAAATGCTCGTGAAGCAAGTGGCAGAGACGAGCGGAAACGTAACCGCAAAGTGATGTGAGTACGTGAGCAGCGAAACTGATGCTGCAGTAAGTGGTCCCTGTAGGAAAATTAAAGATTTTAAATTTAAGTTTTCTTTAGTAAAGTTGGAAATATTTACGATTTTCATGCTTGAAATTATATATCGAAGTCTAGGCCTTCGACTATGGCTCATCTGTGAAACTTTACCACAATTTGTGCATTTTTATTTAGAAACGAAAGTAAGGGAAACAATAAGGGACAAAGTAGAATTTACTTAAGACTGTTCACATTTCAATGGGCAAAGTGGGGCAGATGGGTTTAGAGCTACACTTTTCGAAAACGGTTCTTGTGTTGTTTTTTTGTCTTTGGAGATACTTAAAAGCAGACTTGTCGATTTTATCATGAGTTAAAGATTTATTTTATTTCAAAAGAAGGTTAAAATTGTACTAAGAAAAAATACGGAATTATTCCTTTTTCCATTTCATCTTATAAAACATATAAACTTATAAACTTTAAAAGTAACATCAACTGGAATTCTACACCACGATCCTGATTAAATAATGGTCGACAATTCACTTTTTCCTGCAGACCATCCAACAATAGGTACTCACACATTGAAACCCTGAAACTACAGCGACGGCTCCGACCACGAGCATTGCACAAGCCACCACTGTGTGGTGGAGGGTATACGTGCCATTGCAATTGCAACGAACAGGTAAACAGCGAACACACGTACAAATGCAGCTCTGTGTGCGTGCAACAGCACGTCTGCCGACTGCCACATTTGTATGCCTGTATTGGTTTTCATTCAAGTTTCGTTGGCGAGCGTCTACGCTAACCACAAGCACGAACAGCCACGACAACCAGCAAACGATGATCGACGATTGACAACGACTACCGACGACTGTGACTGCAACTGCGACACCGCAAGACGACCGACGTTCGACTTCTACTTGTGCTGCTCGCGTCGACGACATAAGACGGCAGACACACTACTCACTTTGCGACGAACGATAAGCAAATGCGAACGTTGCTGGATTTCGTATCTTTCAGTTTGTTTGATCAGTTCGAAAAGTGAAGTCGAAGTCGCAAGCGAAAATTATATTTTGTGCGTTGAACGAAAAACGCCACAGGCACTAAAAGAAAAATATAGAAAAAACGAAGACGAGTAAAATACGAAAAAATATACATATACTAATGTGGATAAAACCTAACTGTAGTTCGATGCATAACTTTTAAGGACTCTTCCATGGTGCAGCCTTGATTCGGCGAAAATTTTTAAGTTTTTCGTGTGACATTTTTTTGTTGGCTGTTTTTGAAGAAAACCCATTGAACGCCGTTGGTGCGCCGAGAAGTTGGTGTATTCGCGTACACGAGGGAGTCAAAACTCTACCAGCCAGTTAGAGTGAGTTACAAATTTACGTATGCATATCAACAGCCGATTTTGTACATACATACATAAGTATGTATGTATGAATGCATGTAGTTGTTGTTGCTGTAGTCGCGATCAATGAAGTTTTTTATGAATGAATGGAAACAAGTTGTAAATGCGCGCGCGCACTTCATTCAATAAATACTTGCCCATAAACTGCCATGTGTTTGTGTGTATGCACAATATGTATGTATGTGTATATGTAATAACTACAGTGGTTATTTTTTCACCGACTAGTTTTTCGAGTTACGCGGCTCGCGACCAAATGCGCCGACGACAACGTTAACGGGCGTGATTTCGATCTAACGAATTTTCATCTGTATATATGTATGTGTGTGCTTGTACGTGAATATTTGGACAAGTGTTTTTTGATGCCAATTATTTTAAGACTGACTTTGTTAAATTAAAAATGAATATTCGTGTTTGTGGAATACTGAAACTGCAAAATCTGTAACTGTAAATCACAAAAATAATACACATACTCGTACATGTACGATAAGATGAGGAGGACAAAGGAAACAATGTGTAAATAAATAATTTAAAAAAATAATTTTTGTAAAATTTGTTTTAGTACTGTTGAGTTTTACATGTTGTTTAAATAAAATTTCTTTGTGTGCAATAAAAAAGATCTCCTCGTAAAAATATGCTTTTTAGTATTTTTTCTCTAGCCTGCATAGCTAAATAATTTTCAATTCACAAGTTGCCAGAATGACGTGATTTTCAACTAATTTTCGCCGTCAATCAGCCGGAAAATAGTTAACTAGCGCGGCAATTAAACGATCGAAAGTTGGGAAAAAAATTACCTAAGTAAAAAAATAAAAATAAAAGCGAATTACAACATTTATAGGCGAATGGAAGTTTGCAAAAAGACTCGTTGGTGAAAAACAGTCAATTACGCATTTGAAAATGGTTTTTTGTTTACAACTAAAATTGTAAAAAATAAACAAACCATTAAAACTAAAAATAGCGACGGGTCAATGTAAATTGTAAAAACTTTACAAAAATATATATATGTATATAATAGCATTCAATATACAAATATGACTTTGTATATTGAGAGCGTGCTAATTTAAAAGAAAAATATCGAGATGGTATTAAAAATAAATAATCTGAACTAAAATAGTCACCAACAATAACAAAAGAAAACAAATATTTTATATTTAAATCAAATACGTCTCAGTTTGTTAATTAAACAACATATATTTATGCTTATAATTTATGTAATATATTGTATAAATAAGTGACTGTAGATTGCCAGATTACTTCCAGAAAGTTTGTCTGATTTGCAGTAATTTAAATTTTGTAATATTTTGCTTTAATTTTATATTTAATCAAAAAAATTATTCTTTTCACTTATAAAATCTTTCGGAAATATATACTAAATTGAAATAAAGTTTTGAAACATGTACAATCAAAATATAATCGAATTTTTCGAATGAGTAAAAAAAAAATTGACATCAAAAAATTATATATTTTTATTTAAGCAATTTTTTTTTTTATGCGAAACTTATAAAAGTGCTAAATCTAATTAATAAAAAAGATATAAATATGATAAATAAAAATATCAAAAAATTCAAAATAAAAAGAATTAGAGATTAGAAAAACTTCTAGGAGTCTCTTACACGATTGCAACAAATAAAAATATTGACACAAATTTGGAAACAAAATCAGTGTTATAAAAAAATAGAATATGGACAATAGAACATTTAGACTTTTTAATAAAAGAACATCTTAATAAACATATTTTTGTTGAAAGACAAATATGCGAAGTAACTTTGTAAATTTTTAATGAAAGTATGTACATACATACATATAGTGTATACACAAATACATACATAAATTTATGCATATGCACACACATATTTATGTGCATCAATTATTATACGCAACAAACACAGAAACGTTACTCAGTGTTTATAAAAAATATACTAAACACTTTTAATTTCAAAATTTTTTGCATTCTAGAAAACACGTTTAAAGAAAACAATACCTCAAAAATTAAAAATATTTAAATTTACGCTGCAAATCAATACTCAGTACGTCTTTAGTTAACGCATTGTGAAGGAAAATTGCAGGAAATTGCCAAATTTGCAAATAAAAACTACTTTAAAGCTCTCTCATATAACATATAGTTTTCCATTTATGGTATGTATGTACATATGTACACGTCAAGCACGGCTTTCGATGCCAACTAAACGCGCAAAACGTTTATGAACTGAAGCGCTTATGAATCGAGTGTAAATGAGTGATTGAACAGAGGCACAGCGACACAGCGGCAGTCAGTTACCAATTGAACGTTGTAATTGCACAAAATGTTGGCGAGACAAACAGCGCCTTAGTTGCTAGAAACAGCCGATACACGCTATTTAAAATAAGCAAATAAAACAAACACAAACTCACTTAGATTACAAACAACAAAAAAGACAACGAAAAATACAATAAATAAACAAAATTGTGCAAAACACGCTCAAGGTGCACGAGTAAAGCGTTAAAGTGTCAATTACAAACGGCAAAGTGTTGCTTAAGTAACAACAAAAACAACAACAACGAAATTCACAATAAATTCGATGCCACAACAGCTCAAAAACAACGTCGAAAAATAAAAAAAATATATACATATATACTTTTCCCTCAAATCAAATTAAATTACAAAAACTTACAAACAAAATGTTGCCACACACAATCCTGCTAGCGCTGCTGCTTTGCTGCCAACACCTCAGCACCGTCCGGACGACACGCCTGCCGCTCGAGGTGTACGAGCTGACGGCGGCCGCCGCAGCCAGCGCAACGGTGACAGCAACCGCCAGCAGCGCGGCCGATGACAGCAGCACCGATACACGACACAGAAATTTGGAATATGCCACAGTGAATGCGAAAATATTACAGCAAGCACCAGCAGCCAGAACTTTGGCGGTATCGGCGACAACAACAACAGCAACACAAGCCTTTGCACAAGCGATTGAAACGGATTCACATTATGCGGCTGCAGGTGCGCCGTCCGTACACCAACACACGCAACTACAACAGCAGCAACAAGAGAAGCAACCGAGCGATCTGGTTGTGGATCAACGACGTTCGCGTCAGATGTTGGAGATCATCGAGCAGCAACAACGCGATCATCAGCAGCACAATTTCCATCGTGAAACGCTGTTACAGCAACAACAACAGCAGCTAAAGCTCTCCAAAACCTCGAGTCCCTTCGCAGTTTACGAAAAGGATAACAACAGTTATAATAGGCAAAGGCACGGCGCAGGTCGTGTGGCCGCTCAGGATGTTCGTGTGCTTTATCAAGTCGGGGTAAGTCACTACTAAGAGTAGCTTGTTAATCCTTGAGGAAATTTTTTTTCTTTTATAAATTATTTATATGCTTTTGAGACCTATTTGAGAAAATAATTTTTGGTAACGAAAAGGCTCTAATCGTGCTATAAATAGAAGCACTGCTCTCTCGCTCATATCTTCGAGGAAATATGCGTACTGAATGTCCTTGAATTGATTCATTGAGTGTTTAGCGGTGATTCTAGCGTATTTTTTGAAGAAAAAAATAAAATAAATTAAACAAAGTTTTTATATAAGTAATTAATGCAAGCATTTATATAGAAACGACAACAGCCCGATTAGCGATCATATGTAGCCACTTCATATCAGACTTTCACACGCTTTGGTATTCAGCGCTTTATTCTCTAAGTCTAAATAACGCTGAATATTTTGGTAAATCTTTTTTTCTCTTATATAACTATATGATATTTATCTAGGGAATCTTTTGGAATATTTTGGAAACAAAATTGATTCATAGTCAAAAATGATCTAGAAGGTATTCGAATATATCATGATCTCAATGAAACTTTAAGGGAGCTGTGCTTATAAAATTTTACAACGTATTTAGTCTCTTCAAAGATGGCGCTGCGATCAAGAAAAGACCACTATTACACAATAGAGCCCGCATTTAAACTATATAAATCTTAATCTTGTTAAATATATCTTTTTCTCGATTTTCTACTTCCTGTACTTTTTTTCCGAGTAAGAAAGAGAGTTCAAATAGATCAGTGCTACAAACACGAAAATTCTGCCCGAAAACGTGAATAACTCACAGCATTACTCATGGGCTTATCATTAATTATAAGCCAACTTTGGACCCCGTTGACCCTGCAGTGAACTTATTCTACTAGCGGCAATGTATGTCATTATGAGTATTTACTTCCTTTCTTCCGATCTCACATTTTGATGGACGCTTACATACATACAAATCGTCACCTAAAATGCAAAATGACGTAACATCACTTTTCACAAGTTTACAGGAAAAGGAAAAATGAAGTAGCGAAGCGCATACAATTGAAGAGATGTTATTTTAAGTTTTGGTTATACTTTGGATAGATCTGATAGCATGGACTTACAACTTTCTTAATATATGTATGTAACATTATACAAGTATGATGAATCGCAAACACCAAAAAACTCAATTTAGTATTTTTTAATAATACGTTATTTTGCATTTTAGGTGACGATATATACATGCATATGTACAAATGTATATGTAGTTCTATAACACAGTTCTACGATGCTCTTGTTGGCCATTGACTCTGTTCCTTGACTTGCATCTTCGTTCCAATTTGTCGGAAATAGAAGTTAAATTGTGTGTATATGCTTTTTGCTATTTTTTATACTTGCATGTATGTGTTTGTGTACGAGTATGCTAACGAGCCTTTGCTATTATGCGCTCTTAATTGTTGTAACTTTATTTTTAATGTTCCACTTTATTATCTATTATTCAAAGTGTTGTTGTTAGTGTTGTTGCTTGATTGCCTAATGGTCTGCTCCCAATTAGTGATCTTCAACATGAACGAAGTGACTGTGTCATTGCTTTGCGCCCGTTGCATTTGAATTCTCTGCCCACCCAAGCGTAATTTACGCACTAACTGAGAGCGGAGCTTGGGCGCTTAACTTTGGACAAAACAATATTAGCTATTTTTAGCTTAGAAAAATAAAAAGTGTAGCAGTTGCTGCTTAAGAAAGAGATAATGTATTAAAAAAAAGAATGGCAAAGTAATTATTTATTTAATTCTTCTATATACGCACATACATATGTACATGTGTGTATTTTATACTCAATGTATATTATATACTCACTATATGTTCAAACATTACTCAACAAGTTGTTTTCTAAAAGTTCTATTTCGTTATTTATACACATGCGCACACACACATGCACTCATACAAACATATTTACACATATTATAGTCTGCATGTAAATATGTTTGTGTGCTCTTTCTTTTATATTCTGTTATTCAATTAAATGCTGTCAATTAATATATGACGACGTACGAATCGAGCAACTGTTCTTCTCGTAGGCACCTTTGGCCAATTATAACGGAGGTCGAAAGTTCAAGTTTTCTACATATTTATTTATTTCTATGTTCTAACGATTTTAATCGGTGCTTACTATCCGCTGGCGTATTTTTCTTCTTATTGTGGGGTTTCTCGAAAACTTTTAGTGACGATTGCAAGATGACACACAATGATACAAAGTGTAGAATGAATTTATTCCAAGAAATAGCGGAAACTTTCCAAATGTTTTCTGACTAAAGAAGCCGGGTACAAAAAAGCGCGTTAGGGGTAAGGTAAGATGACAGAACTAAATTAATACTTGGTAGCAAGGTGGAGGACTCAATATGTATACCTTATTTATTATAATTTGTCAAATACAAAGCCTTTCGATACAAAAACTTGATGTTAATAGATAAGTTTGTATAGCAGTTACATGCTGTAGGGTTCAGATGTCGGCAATTTCTTCGGAGATGGTAAAAAAATAATCTATGCCAAATTTCGTCTTGATATCTCGTTAAGTAAAAAAGGATTGCATACAACGACATATTTCGATTGATTAGTTTGTATGGCAGCTAGATTCTATAAGGGTCTGATATCGGACATTTCGATAAATGAGCAGCTTCTCGGGGAGAACGTGTACAAAATACAAAATCTCAAAAATTTAAAGACTAGTTTGCGTTTATACACAGACAGACGGACATGGCTAAATCGACTCAGTCCTTCATTGATCATTTATATATCTACTTTCTGGGGTCTTCAACGTTTCCTTCTGGATATTACAAATTTTGTGGCAAACCTAATATAGTCTGTTAAGGGTAAAAAATATGAATTCTCCTTTATTAAATAGAACCCTACATATCCCTAAAAGTAGGCAATATAAAAAAAATTGATTTTTTTTATTACCTCCTTGCTTTGTAAAATTAATTTTTAAAATTTTTGTTAAAAATAAAATTTTTGTTAGAATAAATTAAAAAATTAAAAAAAAAAATTGTTTACAAAGTAAAAGTTGTTTAAAGTTCTTAAATCACATGCAATATTTTTGCTTCTTTTTTTAAATTTCTTTTAGCGAAGAAAAAATTTTGAATAGCTATAGAAACTTTTTTCATAATAATAATTATATATTCTTTCTCTGGCACACGCAAAGTTAGTAGTAGTTTAGAGTCATTCACAAACAATTCGAGATGTTTCTAGAATTTAAGCCATTCAACTTTTCCTACTCTAAACTTTAAGACCGCAAGCTGTTCAAATACATCTTTCTACATACATATCTACTTATTTATTTATTTATATCTTCATACATATATACGTTCATCTGTGTGCGTCCAATGTTATTTATAACCATTTATGAAATCAAAGCGCAATGCATTAATAAAAAAATAAAAAAAACACACATATTTATGTAAGCTCGTAGCAAGCTGCATTTCGTCAAGTAATCTAATGTCAAGTCATAAACAATGCTTTCGCCAACAGCTGCAAGCAGCAGCAGCAATCAATTACAATAACAAATGGAGCCGCAATAGAAATAGCGGAAAGGAAGATCAATAAGTGAATATAAAGACCCATGAAAAATTGTTGGAAAACATAACAGTGATCCAATTGAGGCCTATAAATTGCGGCCAACAACTCATAAATTAAAAAAAAAAAATTTTGAAGAATTAGTTTTTTAATTTCAAAATCCCGCTATCATCAAGCATGTCAAAACGAATGAAATATTACAACATCGAGTATAAAATATATTAAAGGCCAGAGATAATTATGCTAATTTGTTGGAAACTAACATTTCTGCAGACAAATATGCATATTTATATTGGAAATAACGAGATATGTGCATATTTACCTTTGCTACGTGTGAATGTGTGCCCATATGAGCGTATGTTTGTGTGTGCCGGCCAAATCGTGTTTTATTTCATGATTTATTTAGACAACATTCCATTGCTGGCTGTTTACGGTATTTAACGCTCAACGAGCGTGGGCCGATACCACGCCGACGAGCGACGACCGGCAGGCAACTAGCAATCGAAAGCCAACAACTGTACATATGTATAACTATTTATGTGTGTGTGTTTGTATAAAAGTAGTTGGCTGATCTGCCATTGATGCTGGCTAAAAGACAAACATACTTATACACATATGTTTATATGAAAACAATCAGCGCTGAGTCTGGTGATAGCGTTCAATGCTTTTTTGACTTGACTGGCTAAGCAGACAGCAAGTAACGCAAACAACTTGGTATAAACATATTAAAGTGCGATTGAGTATGTTTGTTTATACATACTTGTATGTGTGTAGACTGTTCATTGACTGTAAGGCTTGAATTGGTTCATAAGCAGGTGTATCTTCCGATTTTCAATGTTTTGCATTGAATAAATTGTATTTAAGAAGTTGTCCTTTGGAATTAATAACACTTCAGTTTCCTTTCAGGAATATAGTTGAGCTCAAGCTAGACTTTGCTGAATTGAGGATTAAAAAACTTGAAAGAAATATATCTTTTTCATTTTACTAGGTGGCGGATTTAAGACAGATTTGATCTTCTTGAGGTTTTTATGTGAAAGAAATATGAAGCTAAGGTTAAGTTTGACCGAAAATGGCCGCTAGTGTGTCCTCTGTTGCGATAACCTAAAAAATTTCATACATTAACGGTGTTTTAGACTAAATAGGTCTGGGTAATGCCGGCGATGTTTACTACTTAATTTAAAAAAATTCCAATTAGCCACAACAAGCTGAGTAGGCTGCAGTACAAATTATATACAATTTTAAGAATTAGAACTCCGGGAAAGTCATATTTTCAAAAACTCTCATGACTTAATTAAATTACAATACTTATTTTAGAATATAAAAAAATTAAATTTGCCTAAACAAGAAAGATGTTAGGAAAGTTAGGTTTTATAATTTATGTAGAAATCTAATTATTCCAAAAACCTCGTGTCAGTTTCTAGCCCATTTACTCACTTTTAATTTAAAATGATTAAGAGAGA